CGTTCTGTAGCGGCACTTACAGTCATAGTAGAAACTCAGGGTGAAGACGTTGTTATAGATCCATGGTGAAGACATATGTTTACAAGCATTGACCCCAGTCCTCAGCCCTGGTTTGATCCTGGTTTATCTCCTGTTTTGGTTGTTTTGGAGCCTGAGTCCCTGTGATCACTTTGCTGCTCTCTGATGTGGAGCGAGGATCGCTGCTGTGAACCGCTGCAGCAGTGAACCGCTGCAGCAGTGAACCGCTGCAGCAGTGAACAGTTTTTAAGACAGTATGATCCATGCTTCAGTGATCAGAGGTCACACGTTTTGTTTGTTGTTGTTTTGGGAGCATACTGTGGCGAGCAAAAACGCAAAACTCCGGTTCTATTTCATCCTTCCTGACCGCCAGAGGAGGTGCTTTAAGGACTGAATGATCATCTTTGAGCATGCGCAGTTCGAGGATTAAATGACAGCAAAGTCACTTGTGACCTCCTCGTGACCCCCGTGAGTCTATATAGGTCACGTGATACGAGAGCCCAGCCTCTTTTCTTCTTCTCTCAGCGCAGGTTTGAGTTGTGCGTGTGTGTTTGAGCGTTTGAGCTACCTACCTACCACATACGTACTGCTTGCACACCAGCTCCGTGACTCGCGTCGAGGCAGCGGGTGGATCTCGCCCCTCAGGGGCTGTGCAAGCTCCTCAGGGGTTGTGGAAGCTCCGCCGGCTCACCGGTGAGTTCTGTCCACGTGTGTGCGTGTGATTCTTAGTTTAAGCTTTCCGTTTTTGGAGTGAGCTGACGTTTGCTATCCACAGTTATACTGTTCGTTTTCTGTTCAGTTTGTGTTTATGCTCTGTTTGCCGGTGTTAATTGAGTAGTGTGTGTGTCTGCCCCACCGGACTCTTTCGTTGGCCCACATTGTGTGTTTGTACACTTTCGTTCGCTCTTCTGTTTTCAGTGCATGCTAACATTTGTTTTTCTTTACCAACAGTTAGACTGTTCGCCCTCTGTTCAGTTGTTTGGTTTTCTCTGTGTGCTTGAGTCGTCTGTGGCGTTTTCAGCTCGACCCGACTCTGCTTACATTGCTCCAACAGTTCAGGCGCTCTCGTTATGCACGAGTCGCTGGGCTGCCGTGGGTGCATGGCACCGATGCCCCGCGAGGATGGCCATTACCTCTGCCCTGCGTGCCTGGGTATCGGGCATTTGAGACAAGGCCTGACAGTGGACGCCTGCTCCAATTGTGCGGTACTGCCACACTCTGTACGCGTGGACCGCCTGGCGGCCCTGGATCCGGATGAGGGCTCTTCAGAGGTGCCGCCCTGCCTGCCGCCTGCTGCCCAGCCCTCTGGGTCTAAGCGTGCGGCTGTGTCCACTGCTTCCTCGGCTCTGCAGAGGAAGCGAAGGGTGCCTGCAGGGTTGTCTGCACGGATGGACCACCTTGCGTCTGAGATGGCCCAAATGAAGGCACTTCTGCAGGATGTTCGTCCGGCTTCGGGGCAACATGTGCTGGGCCCTCCTGTGCCGGACCTGGCCCCGTTGTGGGAGGACGATGTGATGTCTGTGGCTACATCTGACACTCATTTTTGTCTTGACCCTGTTGAGGTTGACTCCAGGGCCTCTGAGGCTGGTTCCTTGGCGTCCACGGGGTGCCTGGGCAGCGTGAAGAGTGGGGCTTCCTCTGCTGTCCGCTCTGCACTCGCCCACTTGGGGCTTGATGTCCCGCAGGGAACTGTGCCGTCTGGTAGCGCCTTCTTTAAGCGACAGCGGCCCCTTCCCTCTGTCTCTGTGCCTCCTTCGACGGAGTACGTGAAGGAGTTACATGCATGCTGGACGGATACGAAGGCTATGTCCAGACTGACGTCCGATGGCCGGGCTTTGGCTTCAATGCAGGATGCCCCCCAATTTGGCTTGGGCCACATGCCGCCCGTCGAGCCGGCAGTGGCCTCCTTGTTTGTTTCGCCGGAGGAGGCCCTCCGGTCTGATCCGAGGTGCCCTAAACCCCAGTGTCGCCTCACAGATGAGCTGCTGTGTCGGGCGTACGATACTGGTGCGCAAATGGGGCGCATGGGGAACTCTCTTTCCCATTTGTTACTGGGCCTTTCAAACGCATTGGAGGTTTCTACAGTCGATGCCCCGACCCAGGGACTGTTGGATGCGTCCCTCCACGCTTTCGCCCTTATGTCGCGGGAACTGGGCCGCCTGCTGTCGACCCTGACTCAGACACGTCGGTCGGTGTGGTTGGCACAGTCACCCCTCACTGAGCCCTGTAGGAGGACTCTCCGGAGTGTTCCGGTGCTTCCGGGGGAGCTCTTTAGTGCGGCTGCCCTTCAGGCGCTGGAGCGCACAGCGCAGGCCACCCGGACGCGTGACCAGCTGGTCGGGCTGCACCGGCGGGCCTCTCCATGGGTTGCCCCTCCTGCTGCTACTCCGCGGGTGTATGGTGTTCCACAGCCCTTTCCTAGGGGTTCGCGGCCACCAGGTGTCCCTCCGCCTGACCATAGGGGATTTCGGCCTTCTACCCGGCGGCCTCCCCAGAACGCAGGGGCTCGGAGATGAGGTCAGGCCGCTGACGGTGGATTCTTTTACCTGGGAGCAGTTGGACTACTGGACCGTTCACACCTCAGACCTCTGGGTGTTGGGCACGCTCTCCCGGGGTTACACTCTCCAGTTCCACCGTCGGCCTGCGGTCCCTGGCCCCGTCAGGTGGACTGTGATCCACGACCAGGCCAGGACACTGGCGCTGTCCGTAGAGATCGCCACCTTGCTGGACAAGGAGGCTATAGTGCCTGTGGACCCCCTGCTGGACCCAGGGGGCTTTTATTCAATTTATTTTCTGGTTTCAAAGAAAACTGGCGACTTGCGTCCGGTTTTGGACCTTCGGGGCCTCAATGTGTTCCTCAAGACGCTATAGTTTTGGATGTTGAGGACCCCGGAGCTGTTGCAGGCAAAATCTCCGGGCGATTGGTTCGCATCCATCGACCTGAAGGATGCCTATTTTCATGTGCCGATTGCCCCGCATCACCAGCGGTTTCTGCGTTTTGCTTTCCAGGGGTGGCATTATCAGTTTCGGGTGCTTCCCTTCGGGCTGTCCCTGTCCCGCAGGGTCTTTTCCCGGGTCGTTGCGGCGGCCTTGGCCCCTCTTCAGGCAGGGGGGTTGAGGGTCCTGCCACGACTGGCTCGTGTGCGCCCCCAGTCGTGCCCAGGCCATTCGGGACACTCAGACCGTCCTCAACCACGTTGGGCGGTTGGGTCTGCGGGTCAATGTCGCCAAGAGCAATTTGGTTCTGGCTCAGGCAACGACTTTCTTGGGGGTGTACCTAAATTCGGTTGCCATGACCGCCCGTCCGTCGGCTCTGCGGGTCAATGGCATTGTGGACATGCTCAGGATCTGGAGAGAGAGAGCATGAGGACTAGCAAGATGGCGCCGTGTCAGGGCGCTGCAGTGAACGCTCTGGTGCGCACAATCTGTGTTTTGTTGTTTTTCGTCTGGGATTCACTTGCCACAGTGAAATATGATCGGCAAACACTTCTGTACATTCGGGACCACGCGTGTGACGGGTCACTCGTTTTACCTGAACTGAGGTGCACAAACTTCCTCGAGTGTCCCACTCGAGAGGCTGGTGGAGTACGGCAGGCGGGCCACGGCGGTGGCCGCCAACAGAGCGAGGGGGCCGGGCGTCTCCAGCGTTCTCTCCGCGATGTGGAGCTGGGCACCTTGAGTCGGCGAAGGAGGCGCAGACACCGTGGAAGGCGAGGCGGTCTGCTCGTTCGTAGCCGCTCCTCCAGGACCCCCTTGCCCTCCATCTACCTGGCCAACGTCCAGTCTCTGCCCAACAAGACGGACAAGCTCCTGTGTCGGGTCCAGAGCCAGCGCGAGGCCCGGGACTGCTCTGTGTTCTGTCTCAGCGAGACGTGGCTCCACTCGAACGTCCCGGACTCTGCTGTTCAGCCCCCGGGATTCACCGCTCACCGCACGGACAGAGTGAAGGAGACCACGGGCAAGGCCAGAGGCGGAGGTGTGTGCTTTTTAATTAATCAGCGCTGGTGCACGGACACTCGAATCGTGAACCAAACATCTACTGCCAATCTGGAATGCCGCCCTTTTTATCTTCCCCGTGAGTTTTCAGTGATATTTTTATGTGCTGTTTACATTCACCCACGTGCGGATTACAAAGTAGCCCTACAGGATCTGAGCGTGATCCTTCACAAACATGAGTCTGCTCATCCTAACGCAGTCATCATTGTTGCTTGGGATTTCAATAAATGTAATTTAAAGACTGTACTCCCGAACTTTTACCAACATGTGACTCAAGCTACAAGAGGAGCACATGTTCTGGATCACTGCTACAGTAACGTGAAGGGAGCTTACAGGTCCAGTCTCAGACCTCCTTTTAGAAAGTCTGACCACTCCTCTGTTCTCCTTCTTCCTTCGTATACTCAGAGGAGCAGGGAACATAAACCAACCTCTCGCACTGTGCAGTGTGAGGAGGCTAGCATGAAGCTACAAGGTTGTTTTGATGCTACGGACTGGTCTGTGTTTCAGTCAGAGGACGTCAATGAATTCTGTGACGCTGTGTCTGGATACATACGCTTCTGTATTGACTGTTGTGTCCCACAGAAGGTCATTAAAGAACATTTTAGTCAAAACCCTTGGATGAACGCGGAAGTGAAACTGAAACTTCATGAGCGTGCTTTGGCGTTTCAATCTAATGATACAGTTGCTTATAAGCAATGTTCCCTCTAATTTTTCATTTGTCTGGGCAAACACCCAATCTCCCTGAGCACACTGAGAACCACTGTGAGCAACATCAGATGTGCACGCTCTGACCAAGCACCAGTATCACACCTGTTCAAAACCTTGGATCATAGCTAATTACATGGCTTATTAAAAGAATCAAATTACAGCAGCAATTTGCACTAGTTTACTTTTAAAATAATTCATTAGATGAATTCCACATTAAATGAAAAAGACAAAAATCTTGTTGTTCAAGAGATGTGTAGTATGTGAGAGTCCTGCTGTGGTCAAGGGAAGAGTCCTGCTGTGGCCATGGGAAGAGTCCTGCTTCTTTGGCCATGGGAAGAGTCCTGCTTCTTTGGCCATGGGAAGAGTCCTGCTGTGGCCATGGGAAGAGTCCTGCTTTGGCCATGGGAAGAGTCCTGCTGTGGCCATGGGAAGAGTCCTGCTTTGGCCATGGGAAGAGTCCTGCTTTGGCCTGGCTGAGGTCCAGTTGTGGCCTGGCTGAGGGTCATGTTCTGGAAGAAATTATACATATATACCCTTAAGACAAAACATTTTGTTCACATTAAAACATTCACATTTTGCACAATGATGTGTGCTGTAGCTTGTGATACAGTGTAAATTCCTGTAACTCTTTGTCTGTAAAAAATCTTATTACTCAATTATTTATTAGCATTTATACTACCCATACATTATCTAGAAGTAACAGCCTTTAATGATTAAATATCCATAAATAAGAAATCTGATTAAATGTCACTAGAATATGCACAAATCTGACTCAAATTTTACCTTATTTTTCACGTCTGTCCTTCTCACTTCTCCGATGGTTGTACACTTTGTCCAGGTTGATGGCTTCGTCTGCTTGTTGCTTTGCTTTGCTCTTATCTACTATCAGGGTATGCCAAGGAGAATTTTTAACACTGCACAAATTCAAAGGCATAGTTTTTGCTTCGCCAGTTTTCTGGTATACTCACATACTTTGCCATGTGATCGTGGATTTGTTGAACTGACAGCATTGATGCATTCATTTTGATGGCAAGTAAAATGTTATCAATCAGAACTTTAACTTGTTCGGGGTGAGATTTTATTTTGAGTGACAGCACGTTCCTTTTCTCTCTGTCTTTTGAGCTCTCCAGCAATAACGTACAATTCCAACAGCTTTCAAATGACTTTAGTGCTGAATGTGCCGCTTGAGGTAGTCCAACTTCCATTCAGTCCACATTTTTCCCTCCGAAAATTCACTCGCTACTTTGGCTTCGCCGCATGTTTTACAGAGTAGTCCTTTCTCACTCGAAAAATTAAAAATCTCACCCAGTTTCACCACTTCTTCTATTTTCAAATTCTCCGACAGCCATTCCACCTTAAAAGAACCGCATTTCTTTTTTACTTTGGCTTGGTGAGTGGGTGTGTCGATGCCCGTTTGTTTCGCCATCATGAGGGTTTCGTATTTGCGTCTCTCTCCTCAGTATGGCCGTGCCGTTAGCTAGCTAACCATGCGCGTACATCAATGGGCGCATACGGGCAGGGCAAATCAATGCTATGATTGGCCACGTAGGTGAGTGAACCGCATCGTATTATTGGCTCAACACCTGTCACAGTTATGTTGCAAAATGAACAGAAAACAGTATTATTGGTCTAATTAAATAGATTAAATTAGGTCTAATATTTGATATTAATTAACACGTTTATTTTGAATTTTATTTTTGTGCGCAGCACAAGTTTTCTTGTGCGCTGAGACTGTGCAAGCAGTGCGCGATTGCGCACGCGCGCAGCTTATAGGGAACATTGCTTATAAGCTATCCTGTTACTCATTGAAACGTTCTATTAAATCTGCAAAGCGCAGTTACGGGGACAGGTTATAGAATTATTTTGAGGAAGATGACCCTCGGCGCATGTGGAACGGTATTAAAGCCATCACATCGTGGAAAACTAGCGCTGGGATAATTGCATCTGTCGGCCAAGCTCTGCCAAACGAGCTGAACACGTTCTACTGTCGCTTTGAATCCGCTGATGCCTGTCCTACTGTATTCCCTGAGTGTTTCAATCAAGGTACCTTCACCGTGACTCAGGAGGAAGTCAGGCGTGTCTTGTCCAGGACCACAGTCCGAAAAGCCCCAGGCCCGGACGGCATCCCTCCTTGTGTCCTGAAACTGTGCTCTGAGCAACTTTCCCCCTGTGCTAACAGACATTTTCAACCTGTCGCTAAGGAACTGTACTGTGCCGAACTGCTTTAAAGAGTCGACCATCATTCCAGTTCCTAAGAAAACTCCTGTGACATGCCTGAATGACTATCGTCCTGTGGCCCTCACGTCTGCTCTTATGAAAACTTTTGAGCGGCTTGTGCTGGACTTCATTAAGAGCCCTGTGAGTGTTGACCCGCTCAAGTTTGCTTACAGACAGAACAGGAGTGTGGAGGATGCCATCTCCTTTGCTCTGAACTCTGTCTACAGTCACTTGGACACTAGTAAATCTGTCGCGAGAATGCTTTTCATCGATTATAGCTCTGCTTTTAACTGCCTTGTCCCAGGTAAACTGATTGAAAAGCTCATGTCTCTCGGTTTAAGTGTTGCCATGTGTAAATGGATTTTTAGCTTTTTAACTGACAGATCTCAGAGAGTGAAAATCAATGACTGTTTTTTTTATATTGTTTCTGTGAGCACTGGTTCTCCTCAGGGATGTATTTTGAGTCCTTTGCTTTTTACTTTGTACACTCACGATTGTGTGTCCTCCTCTGACTCAAACTTGATCATCAAATATGCTGATGACACCACCATCATCGGTCTCATCAGTGACAATGATGAATCCTCTTATAGAGCAGAGATACAAAATGTGGTTCAGTGGAGTAAAACTAACAACCTCCAGTTAAACGCATCCAAAACATGTGAACTGGTCTACGACTTCAGTCGCAACAGTTCTCATTTGCCTGTCGTAATCGACAACTCCCGGGTGCAGATCGTAGAGGAGTGCAAGTTTCTGGGTTTAACTCTGTCTAACGACCTGAAATGGGTTAAAAACACTGACCGAGTCGTTAAGAAAGCTCGTCAGCGTCTCTACTTTCTGCGTAAACTTAGAGAATTTACCACTAACTCTAAGATTCTGGTTAACTTTTATCGCTGCACCATTGAGAGTTTACTTGTTGGTTCTGTGTCTGTGTGGTTTGGAAACATCACAGACAAATAAAAGAGAGCTTTAAACAAGGTGCTCCGCTCTGCAAAGAGGACCGCCGGCTGTGAGCTTCCTGTTCTGGAGGTTCTTTATAAATCCAGACTTTTAAACAAAGCTCTCAGGATTGTTAATGACTCTTCTGGCCACCCTGGGAAAGCCATGTTCCAGCTTCTTCCCACTGGCAGAAGATATTGCTCTCTGAGATGCAGGACATCTCGTTACACTAACAGTTTTTATCCACAAGCTGTTATCAGTGTGAAAAGAGCCCTTAAATGATTTGCACTTGTTTTAAACTGTTTTAGTCGATCGATTTCACAGTGACATTTGTTTACTGTTTTATTTGTTTTATTTTTGTCTTTTAATGTTGTTTTATGTCTGTATTTGTCTGTGCACACTGGTGACTTTTGCTAATGTATTCCAATGTGGTGTTTTTACTGCAAATGGCAAATAAACTGAATCTGAATCTGAATCTGACATGCTCCACAGATTTCAGCGGGGTCCTACTGTACCTCAGCCTCTTGGGGAAGTTGACGGCGGCCTCTGCCGTTGTGCCGCTGGGCCTTTTCTCCCTTTGTACCATGCAGATGTGGCTGAACGGCTTGCGTTTAGATCCATCACGCTTCATTCACAGGCGACGCAGACTCCTGCTCTCGCCGCAGTGCCTAGAGTCCCTATCCTGTTGGCGGGACAGGTCTTGGATCGAGAGAGGTGTCCCACTGGGCTGCCTTCCGTCTCGGAGGGAGGTGGTGCACACCGATGCGTCTCTCACTGGTTGGGGGGCTACATGGCAGGGCAGGATGGCGCAGGGGACGTGGTCTCCAGAGGTCTGCCTGCTGCATGTGAATGCCCTGGAGCTCATGGCGGTCCGCCTTGCTCTCGCACACTTCCTCCCACGACTGCGTGGCCGGCATGTCGTGGTGAGGTCCGACAGCACCACGGTGGTGCATCACGTCAACCACCTGGGGGGTACCCGGCCCGTGACGCTGTTGCGGTTGACCCGGGAGCTACTGCTGTGGGCGGCCCCTTGCTTGGCAAGCTTGAGGGCCTCCTACCTTCCGGGGGTGCACAATGTGGTGGCGGACCTTCTGTCCCGCCAACGCCCCCAGCCCGGGGAGTGGCGTCTCAACCCGGAGGTGGTGGCCAGCATTTGGACTATGTTTGGCCGGGCCGAGGTGGACTTGTATGCGTCGGAGGCGTCGACCCACTACCTGCTGTGGTTTTCCCTGGCGGACGTGGCTTGCCCTCTGGGCCTGGATGCGCTGGCGCACGATTGGCCCAGTACTCTGCTCTACGCTTTCCCCCCTCTGCCACTGATTTTCCCAACCCTCCTGAGGGTTCTCCAGGAGGGGCACCACCTTCTCCTGGTAGCTCCGTTCTGGCCGGGCCGGATCTGGTTTCCATTGCTGCACAGGCTATGCTGCGGCTCTCCGAGACCGCTGCCCCGACGGCGGGATCTCCTGTCCCAGCTGGGGGGGAGGCTCCTGCACCCCAGTCCCGAGCAGCTTCAGCTCTGGGTGTGGCCACTGAGGGGTCCAGTGTGATGGTCCCTAGGTATGGTGAGGGGGTCGCCCACACCATCTCCAATGCCAGGGCGCCTTCCACTCGACGACAGTACGCCAACCGCTGGAAGCTGGTTGGCGAGTGGTGTCTGACGTGGGGACATGATGCTGTGCGTTGCCCGGTGCCTGCAATTCTGCAGTTCCTCCAGGATCTCATGGACCGGGGGCACTCAAGGTATATGTGGCGGCAATATCTTGTTTTCATGAGGGTGTGGCCAGTTCTACGGTGGGGAGTAACGGGGATATTTCCCTGTTCCTGAAGGGTGCTCGCCGTCTTCATCCCCCGCGACGGCCCATGGTTCCGCCCTGGGACCTGACGTTGGTTCTGGAGGCGTTGCGGGCTCCCCCGTTTGAGCCCCTGGATCGTGTGGACCTGAAGTGGGTCTCCCTTAAGACCGCTTTTCTTCTGGCTATGGCCTCGTGTAAGCGTGTGAGTGAACTGCAGGCTCTGTCGTTTCACGAGTCCTGCTGCAGATGGGATCCCAATGGTCTGGGGGTTACGCTTTGGCCGGATGCTTCCTTCCGCCCAAAGGTGTTCACTGGTGCGGTCCTTCCGCTTAGTTTGGCCCGGTTTGGTACTGGGGCCTCTGTAGAACCGCTTTGTCCTGTCAGGGCATTGGAGGTTTACCGAACTTCCACAGCCAATGTGCGGGGGTCGGATCGCCTCTTCGTGTGCTATGCCGGCCCCAGGAAGGGCCAGGCTCTGTCGTCCCAGCGCCTCTCCAAGTGGGTTGTCGAGGTGATTAGGCAGTGCTACATCTCTCATGGGCGCCAGCTGCCTGCTGGGGTGAGGGGTCATTCGACCAGGGGTGTCTCTGCCTCCTGGGCTGCTATGAGCGGTGTGCCTCTGGACGCCGTCTGTGCGGCCGCCTCCTGGACGTCGCAGTCTACCTTTGCGGCGTATTACAGGGTCAATGTGGCGGTCCCTGGTCCGCTGGAGGGGGTGCTGCGGCACCATTCGACGTTATGAGGTGGGTGTACCTCTCGTTGACCCCTCGGGACCTTGTTGGTATTTGTCATCCAGTGCTTAAAGCACCGCCTCTGGGGGTCAGGAAGGATGAAATAGAACGAAAGTTACGACTGCAACTACGGTTCTATGAATCCTGGATGACCGTAAGAGCGTCTAGTCCCTCGGGGCCACAGTCTGCTTGCGAGGTGAAAAGGGGCTGGGCTCTCGTGTCACGTGACCTATATAGACTAACGGAGGAGGTCACACGTGACTTTGTTGTCATTTAATTCTTGAACTGTGCCTGCTCAAAGATGATCATTCATTGCTTAAAGCACCGCCTCTGGCGGTCATCCAGGATTCATAGAACCGTAGTTACAGTTGTAACTTTTGTTATCTCTGTCCACACAAATGCATAAACAGATTTTTTATATGTAATGCGATCTCCCAATACTACCTTTGAAATCGACGTATTGAGCACCCCTGAACTAAAACATCAGCAGCTCACACACCTCTCTGCCGTAGCTGCTCCTCCTCCACCGCGTCCTCCTCCTCCTCCTCCTCACACACAGGAGTCGCTGCTCCTCCTCTCCGAGGGTCGCTTGCTGCTCCTCCTCCTCACACAGTGAGTCCATAGCTCCATGCACAGCTTTCCCGTCTCTAACTCACTCACTCACTACTCAGACCGCTAAAGTTGGTCTACTTGTTATAATGTACTTTTGAACAAGATAAGTCACGGAGCTCAGTTGGTGCGCCAGTAGAATCGGTCCGTCTGAAACATAGCCTCCAGTGAGGAACGTTCCGCGGTGGAAAAAACACATGCGATTAAAATGCGTTAAATTTTTTAACGCACTAATTTTTGTGGCGTTAATTAATCGGAATTAATGCATTAAAGTCCCGGCACTAGAATAAATACATGCATCAATATGACGGACATATCACTGTAATGTTGTATATTATTGGACTTAACCAAAAGAAGACAACAGGATTTGCACTTAAATTAATGAATGCCACAATCTTCGTAAAATCCTCGTAAGTAGGATTTACACACAAATTTGTTCCTAAGAACGGTTCGTGAATGAGGCCCAATAACCTTTTTAATTATTTCAAATAAAAATACATACTGTACTTGTATGTATATGTGTAAATACTTCACTTGCTAAGAAGCATTTCTAACAAGAACAGAATATAATTGTAAAACTTCAAGACAATGGTTGAGCTCAGCTTGCAGCATATCACTCATCAAGCTCTATTCCCTCAAGGAACTGTACTTACTCTGTGTAATACAGCAGAGTGTTCATGTGTTCCCTATCTTCTCTTCACTAGTATTTACTTTGTATCAACGTCAAATATAGCACTGACACAGGGATACTTGTTATGTGTCTGCCTATTCCATGACCATTGATTTTCTGTGGAATAAATTCATATTTTCTGTTTAAATAAACTTGACTTTCACCTGGACGCCGCCCTGGGAGCTCCATGTATGCCCACTCTGCCCAAAGACACAAAATCATTAACCTGTTTGCAGTAAAAGATGGGGGTCAGTGGTCTGTTTTGGGGCGCACTGAAGAAATGTTGGTTATTAGTGGAGAAGTGTGGCACCTCCGAGGCTCTGGGGGTTCCTGCAGCTGATGCAAATGTTCACATTGACCCAAGGTCAGTCAATCAGAGAGACGCAAAGGGCCGATCCTGAAGGGCCCACACCATTGTATATCAATCTGTCTGCCTTCAAAAGCAATTCCATTGCGTCAATAGTGTGCTATTGTGGAGAGCAGACGTGGCCACGAGGCCCGATCGATGCTCATATATTCTTCTGTAGATACTCTTTGTCTCCGCCACACTGTTTACCAGGCACAGGCTTTTCCTCCAGCAACTCCCATTCAGTGTTAGACTAGCAACGGTGACAAGCACGACACGCGGACAGGCATCAACCCATGAATGTCTCTGTTCACACATGTTTTACTACATTGGAGATTAAAGTCATTTTTCTGTCAGTCCTTCGCCAGACTACATTCAACAACACTGGGATAGTGCGACGGTCAGAAACATTGCTTTGTCCAATGAGGAATTATTTTGCCAGGGGTTATTTGACATAATGGTCTAGCACTTGACAATCTCTTAGGAAACATGCTACTTAAGTTCTTTTTGAAAGACAACTAAAGATGTATTTTCCTTCATCTTCAGAACTGTCCTCCGCTCAGGAAGTAACATCGGTGGATGAAGGGCACGTCACTGAGGCAGGTGACCATTCTGAAGACAACTGGAACATGTTCACAATTCTCCATCTCATGTTTCTCCTGGCCAATGGTTTTAGTGTTTCCAACTGCACCAGCACTTTGTTGGGGCAGGTGCAATGTACTTCTCAATCTGCACCGCACTAGCACTTTAGTCATTGAATGTACGTTGCTTATTGTGTAAACAGTGTTTTTTTTCTATTTCTGGTCTTTTACTAGTGTATCATATTGCATCCTTGCATTCATGGGATTGTGCATCATTATGGTATATTATTATGTTGAAACTGTGAAGATGAGCTGGCTGTCCTGTTGTTGAATGTGTCTTGTACAGTATGTGAGTATCCAACAAGAATGTTAGTGTGACATTGAGGCGACAATAAAGTTGAACCTTGAACTTTGAGAACATTGCAATCCCCTTGAATTGATTGAATGTAAAATATATTTAAAAGTGGAATATCCCTGGTAGGGATGTTAAAAACTATGAATTTTCATGACCGACCACCGAGCCTCATTAACCGATTGAAACCGGTTAACAGCGTTGTTTAAAATACCCCAGGTTCTTTGAAATAACAGCCATTTCGAGCTGCGTTCTTTCCATAAGTGCAGCTCTGTTCTACTGGATCAGAGGCAAGACAGCGGCCCCAAAACCAGCAACAGCTTCGGCACCTTTGCGCACAGAGAACTGCTGTTTTAATCTTCCTATTCTTCTGTGCTGCGGGTTAAAGCATTTTTAAGCAAACGACGGCTCGTTCACATGGTCAGAGCAGCAAGTGACGAGCCGCGTCTCACGCGTCTCCGCTAAAGTTTAAATACAAGTGATGTGTGTGGAACTGATCTAATGACAAGGACCATAAACACAAACATGTTCCCATATGGTTTGACTGGA